CGACTTTAACAATTGTTTCGAGGATTGGAAAAAACATTGGCAAAAGTGTATTGTATCCAGAGGGGAGTACTTTGAAGGCGATAAAAGGAATGAAGATTTAGAAGAATAAATAAAAATTTTAAAAGTTATAAACAATTTCATCTTATTTTTTGATCACAATAGTATATGACGTTAAACTCTCGAAACAAACTGGCATGTCACACATATGTGACCCGTGGTACCGAAAGTGTTGATTTAAACGAAAAATTCGTAAATTTTTAGTACAGTACTTTACAAATGATAATTTATTGCATTATGATTACTTCACAACTGAATTAATTCCTGGATCTTCTGTATGGATCCAAGTAATAGTATCCGTTACTATACAGAATTAATAATTATTTGCGTACTCTTAAAGAGTAATATTATATCCAACCAATATATCCAATATTATATATTCGTATCATTTGGTTTCCTTCGTCGAATTCGTTAACCCAAGATTGTCTAATAATGCTTGTGGGCTCGGATCTCTTCCCCTAAATTGCCTGAATACCTCGGCGGCAGGATAACTACCGCCCAAAGATAAAAACGTGTTACGGAATCTCATACCTAATTCCTTATGCTGTGATTCATCGAACTTGATCTCTTGAAAAGCCGTGTATAAATCGGCAGCTATCATCTCAGACCAAATTTTGCTGCAATTTAACGATTAAACAGATTAGATCAACGCTACATTGTAAATAACTACTAACAATTATATAAACAACTGTGCTTTATTACTTCATTAATATTATTACTTCATTAAGAAAAATTTCGCACAAATATAGATTATCCTAAATTTTTTGGCTTGTGAACAAGTAGACCGGACTAAACTGAATAGTTAATAGATAATTTATAGTTAATAGATAGATTAATTTCTAAAGATTGCTGATGAGCGGGTAAAATTGGCGCATAAATTATCTTTTAAAGTTCTTTATAAAATAAAATTTACTCCTTTTTTTCTTTATTTATCTTTCAGAGTTTTTTATGAATTATATTTAAAGGATGTTTTTTGAAGAATTCTTAAAGATTCTTAAAATTGTTTTATGCTTCGATTTCAGATATTCTGCTCATTAGGTAATTAAAAAAAAATTGTAAAAATTACAAAATGATAGAAGACTCAGTTTAATTCGCTCTACATGCCCACAAGCGGTGTATCAAAAAGTTTGAAATATCCTGTATAATTTGAGATAACAATTATATATAACTATCTTAAATTAAAATCAATTTGCAAAAATTCTCTAATTCGTATAAAATTGATAGATAATACCTGAAATACGCGGCTGCCCAATTGCCACTCCATATAACATCGAAATTGCAAACATGAACGTCCCTTTTTTCGAGTGGCAACACGAAATATTTCGGCCATAGGCGTTTCATGATAGTTACCCAAAATGTTTCACTGCAATTTTTTCAAAAATAAAATAAAACGATGTAAAGATCAATATTGTTTCAGAATTGTCAAATTATTATATTGAGAGAATGACAAGCGTTTTGTTTGTTTTGTAAACATTGATGTAATAAGATATAAATATATGGTGTTTAAGACCACTCCTAGTGATCTGACCACTCCTTTTAAGATAAAGTAAAGTAATTTTTATCAAAAATCTCCAAAATTTAGTAATATTAAGTACATCTTCATCAAATGATGTTTTCAACTTTGGATTCTAATTAAAAATAGGATCTATTGCTTTTATTTACACCTTTTTGAGTAGAAATCGGCTCTTTTTTAAAATTCTCCTTTTTTTTATTTATTTTCAAGATTACTTCAAGATCAATGGAAGTATTTAAAAAAAGTTTAAAACAAGTTTCTTGTTTTTTTTTTACATATATACATTAGAAAATAACACGTTACGTTAAAAAAATTCATCCGATAAAGTAACCCATTTTTGATCGAAACTATAAGTTGAAAATATTATCATTCGATAAAGCATAATTATATTTCTCTTAAATAATTTAACAAAAAAATTCAGGATTAATTCAACAGATTTTTTGCAAATCGAAATTCACCTGGAATGCAGCTCCAGATCCAAATGTGACAAATAAAGTTCTTTACAAAGCTTATAGCCAGCCAAATGCGATCTCATTTTTTTAATACTGTCGATAGCCTCCGCAGGTAATGGTTCCTTCGTTTCGTAATGTTCAGAGATTTTTTGCAACATAAATGGTTCGTACAACCTATATTCATCAAATATATACACAAAATTGAATTACATATTAGACATTAATTTATTAATTAATTAATTGCAATATTGACACAAGCATATTAAAAATATAAAGAAAGTAGGTAAATAAATAGAATAAATAAAAATAATTTTATTTTATACCAGTTCTCCATGAAGAAATCACATATGAATACTGCATCCCATTCCACAAATGACAATCCAGCAATGTCAGAATACTCGATCGTAGTTAGTAAATGTTGCAAAGCGTGTCCAAACTGTAATGTGTAACAAATAAAAGATCAATGGTTTAACAAATTAAAGATGTATATATAAATCTATTATAATTTTATAATATATGTAACCTATTACTTTTTGGAAAAGAATCTGTATGTCCTTGAAGGAAAGAAGAGAAGGTTTATCGCCTATCGGGGGCGGAAAATTGAAGATCATAGCGATCAATGGAGTGCTATTGCCGACTTTGCTCTTGCTTTTGATCGTGGACACCCATCCCGAGGCTTGTTCTTTACGGAACTTCTCCGTTCCTCTGGCGTAGGGATCTAGGTAGAAATTCGCGATGGGTGCTGCATTGGATCCGTTCAAATCGAATATGTCGAAGAACCAGACATCTTTATGCCAAATGTCCGCTTTCTTGCTTTCGACGATTTTCACATTAAAGAGCGTCTCGATGTGTTTGAAAAGACCCGACAACACAGTCGGTAGTGGAAAATACTCTTTCCACTTGTTTTCGTCACTGAACAAACACGGAATTAAACAAAGTATTTAAAGATATATTATTGTATAATATTTTATTCGATATTATAAACTTTTAGCAAATATCAATATCTTAAATGATACTTGAATTCTATAATGTAGGATATTTTACATTTTCTTTCAAATAATTATATTCTCTTTAAAATGCA